AACTCAGAACCTCGCACTTGCCAGGCAGGTGCTGTGCTACCGAGCTTTATCCCCGGCCCAGGAAGAGGAAGTTTTTTGTGCACATAGTTCAAGGGCTTTATGGTAAAATGGTAACGATTCTAGGTTTTGCACAGTTATACAGCCGTGCTGAGTGTGTGAAGGCCCTGGTTCCATTCTCCATTATCACCCCAAAAAAGAGGCAATAAGCAAGCTGGGCATGGTGGGGCACACCTGTAATGACTGTAATCCTGGCACGTGGGAGGCAGAGGGAGGAGGCTTGTATATTTGAGGCCAATCTGGGCTACACAGGAGGACCTTGTCTCAAAAAAAGGAAAAGAAAAGAAAAAAGCTAGTGGTACACTTCTGTAATCAATCCTAGCACTCTGGGAGGCAGAGACAGGACAACTGCAAGTTTGAGGCCGTCCTGGGCAACTCAGCCAGAACCTTGCTAAAAATATTTAAAAATAAGGTCGGCTGGGGCTGTCACTAAGTGGTACAGTGCCAGCACCATGAGGAAAAAATGTCTTTTAAATCGCTTTCTCGGAGGTGTCTTTCCTTTTCTACTACAATTTAATCTCTATGTGAAAAATCTGTTCTCCCGTCACTTTCTTTTTCCCGTGTCACTTTCTAAAACATTTTTTCAGTACATCTCATTATTCCATGACACAATGTTCCTCCCAAAATCACAGGTGGTGAACGCCTGTAATCGCAACACTGGGCAGGCTGAGGCAGGAGGATCGTTGTGAGTTTGAGACCAGCCTGGGCTACACAGTGAGTTCAGGGCCAGCCTGAACTGCATGGTGAGATCCTGTCTCAAAAAGACAAAAACCATCATCATCATCATCATCATCTCATCAGACGCTAGAGCAGAGCGGCACACCTCTGTTTCTACAGGGACCCTGGACCTCTGAGGACGCCAAGCTTCCGCTCTGAAGGTGGGCTGCGTGTAGGGACCTGCGGATGGTACTGCCCCATTCCTTAACGGTCCAGAAAATCTACAGTCCCCCACTCCTACAAGACTCACCAAGATCTTGCATTTGTTCTCACATTTGGAGAGGAAGTCTGAATCAATAATTCCTGACAGCTCCACCAGAACGAACTGCTCCTGGTGGAAGAGAAAGGCTCACAAGTTAGCGCGCACGCGAGCGGGAAGACGCGGTCACAGAAAGGCCCGCATCCCGCGGCGGCGACCCCAGGGCGGC